GGTTTCTGCTGTAAAAGCAGTGTGAATCGGCCGAAAGTATGTCTATATCCCCTCCATCTTGGCATCCCCACCCAGTCCAACCCCTCTGGGTTGTCCTGGGCTCCCTATGTTGTATATGGCAGCTTCCCACCATTTACCTGTTCTACACGTGGTAGTGTGTACAGTTGGTGATGGACAGGGAGGCCTGGCGTGCTGCAGTCCACGGGGTTGCAAAGAGTCGGACATGACTGAGGGACTGAACTGAACTGAACTGAGTGCGTAAAAGTGTATCTATGTCAGTGCTGCTCTCAGTCTTACCCCGCTGTGTCCACAAGTTTGTTCCCTACGGCTGTGTGTGTATTCCTGTCCTGCAAATAAGTTCATCGGTACCATTTTTCTAGATTCCATATATATGCGTTATATCAAAGGTACTCTTAAGTAAAAATGGCTTCTCCTCCCCCCACTATAATATGCGTGATGAAGAATGACTACTAGTATAGTTTGTTGCCACTAGGGTGATTTATGCTGACACCAGCAATTTTGCTCGTTGCTTTTGTATTACATTTACTGTTAACATAGTGAAAAAGGGAAATAAATAATGTCTTGGTTTGGGTCCACACACCACACTTTGAGAACTGGAGCTCTTTTCCCCATTATATCAGCTGCTGAGATTTTAAAAATTTATTTTTATTTATATTAATGAGGTATTAGTTCATATTTTTGAGGCTTTTAGAAGCATAAATGAGTGTTTCATTTTTCCATTTTTAAAAATTTGTGAAGATTAGCATAGAGCGTATTTTTCTCTTTGGCTCTATTAATATGATTAATTGTATTAATGGACTTCCTAATAGTGAACTCTTATTACATTTCTGAAATAAGCACTGCTTTATCTTGATGGATTATTGAATTCTGTTTGCTAATACTAATTACAATATTTGCTTTAATATTTACAAATGAGATTGGTTTATATCTATGTCTTATTGAGCAGTATTTTTCTGGTTTTGTAATCAATGTTATATTTGCTTTATAAAAATAATTTGGGTGTTTTCTTTTTTCCCCAGCTCTCTGAAGTAGTTTAAATAGCATTTGCATCGTCTTTAAGGTTTAGTAGACTTCTTTGTGAAACAAGCTTAGCTTGGTATATTTTTGGCAGAGAAACTCTTACAATTTCCTATATTTTTTTTTCCAGGTGGACTCTAGTGGTAAAGAATCTGCCTGCCAATGCAGGAGACATAAGAGATGCAGGTTCGATACCTGAGTTGGGAAGAATGTCTGGAGCAGAACTGGCAATCCACTCTAGTATTCTTGTGTGAGAAATCCCATGGACAGAGGACCATGGAGTTGCATAGAGTCAAACTCGACTGAGCATGTGTGCACGCACACATTTTTTTTTTACAAAAGGCATTTGTTTAGAGCCTCTGTTTCTATTAGTGTTAGTTTTGATATATTTACCTAGAGTTTTGTTTATTTCATCTAAATTTTCTCAAACATTTTCTCTTGTAGAATTGTATAAAGTAGTCTCATAGTTTAAAAAAAATTTGCTGTGTTGAGTTTTTCTNAGCTGGGCCTGGGGACTTGGAATGGGCAGCGAGGACAAGTTCGCGCAGGGCTCTCGGCCTGCGGCTTTTGGACCTCACCACCCCCAGCGCCAAAAAGCAGGAGGTCAGGGTTGCAGACGCCACACCCAGGTAGCTGGTAAGGGAACAGGAGGACGCACAGGAAACGCCACACCCAGGTAGCTGGTAAGGGAACAGGAGGACGCGCAGGCCAGTTCCGCAACCGCTCACTTCTCTCAGAGCACTTCTGTCTTCCGACCGCATCTGAAAATGCTATTAGCCATCTCACCGCCTGATTTTCACACAAGTGCATCTAACTGGCAGATTTTAATTTACATGCACAATGGTATCTTATCTACATATTATGCTGAGATTTTTTTTAACACTATTGTTTTTGAACCATATGAGAGGAGAACAAATCTGGGGAAGGCAACCCTAGTGCTTTGCATAAAACCCTGCTAACGCATGCAGCGAGCTTTCCTGTTATTAACACAAGGTTTCAGAGGGTAGAGAAAATGAACATATCACTCCAGTGTTTTCTTACCTCAGGACAAATTTTCATGATCTCAGCTTCCTGACTTGGGACTGTTTGCTCTATATCCATTAAAAAAAATATCTTCCACAGAATCAGAAACTCTGAAAATCAGGGCAATAGTCTCAAAACTAATAACCTCATGAACTATTGATGGAAAATACTGGATTCATAATTAGAAGGCTTAGGTTTCATCTGGACTTTACATTGCCTTGTTGTTTGGCCTAGACCAAATGCTCTTCAGACCAAAACATTCCTTGATTGAATGCATATTACTGTCATCTACGAGACTCTACTAAGGCCTGGAAGAAGAATGTAGAGAGGCTAAACCTTGGTATGATTCTCCACTCTTAAAGACATTCCTATCTAGGGGTCAATATAGAATACGTAATCAATGATTCTATCAGTGGAAATAAAAGCTTTTATGAATGATAAGTTCAGGTTGAGATGTTAGGAAGGTTTTAAAATGCGGGTTGCATTTTGTAAAAGGTCACAAAGACAGGAGAGAACTCACTGGTGAGAAAGCCAGCAAAACAAACAAGTGTCAAATGTCCCTTCTCTTTTTGAGCAGTTTACCCCCATTCCCTAAGCACTGAACATGGGAAAATGTTACTCAATCTTTAATTCTCATGATAAGAATATTTCTACATCGTGGCTCTCCCTGAAGTCCAAAACTAGCTTACATTCCCATGCTAAAATTTTTGAAACATCATGTTCTTCCTTTCCTTTTTTTTAAAACTCTCATGTTTATGTATCAGATCTTCAGTTCATTGAGGCCATGAATGAGATTTAAACTTAAAGCTCACTGGATCCCCAGCCCCTGGACAGCATGGCATGTTTCATTCTCTGCACTTAGGAAACACTTAAATATATGCAGACATAAATGCATATATATATATATATATATATATATATATATATTTGAATTAGAGTTTTTGTTTTCTTTGGGTATATACCCTGAAGGGAAATTACTGGATTACATGACAATTTAATTTTTAATTTTTGAAGGCTGGGGAAGCTGGTTCCTGTCATTGATGAGGGAAACTTTCTCAGGCTGAGGAGTTTCCTCTTAGCACTGAGTAGGGCCAGCCTGGGGGATGGCAATGAAGCAGACAAAATGAAACTATTCTTCCTATCCTTTTTGTGTGGTTATTTTCAATTTTTTGGCTCTGTTGTGTTGCTGAGTGTGCTGCAGTCCATGGGGTCACAAAGAGTTGGCACGACTGAGCGACTGAACTGAACTGAACTGTGTGACTTACGCTTCTTAAGTGGATTCCTGAGCTCTCCCAGAGCTATTTTCATTCATGGATAGGTGTCTAATTGTTACCCTTTGTGGGGGGTATTTCCTACTCCACAGTCTTGATGAAGTCACTCTTGTTCAGTCCTTTAAAAATGTCACACTGTCGTCTTTTAGGTGCATGATTTCTAACAAGATGGCTGTTGTAATTGTTATTAATACATTTATTTCTCTGTAGTAATTAGTATGTCTTTTTTCCTTCTTTGACTGCTTTCAAGATTTTCTCTTTATTTTGTGTTTTCAGAGGTTGAATTTAATATGTATACATCTGACTTGGGTATTTATCTTGGTTGGTAGTTCAGATCTATAGTTTGGTATATGCCATTAATTTTGGAAATTCTTAGCCATTATCCCTTAAAATATTTACTCTATCCCATTCTCTGTCTTTTTTCCTTCTGGAGTTGTAATTGCACATCTATTAGCTCATTTGTTGTCTTACAGTTCCTGGATGCTATACACGTTTTTTATTTTTAAATGTTTTTTTCTGTGTTCAGTTTGTATATTTTTCAAATTTGCTGATTAAGCTTTGTTAAGTCTACTGACGAGTCTGTCAGTAACAGTATTGATCTCCATTACTGTGTTTTTATTTCTAGCCTCTCTTTTTTTTTTTTTCTTATAGTTTCCCTTTCTGCTGAAGTTACTCATTTGACAATGAGTATTGTCTACTTTTTCCACTGGAGCCTTTGCCATATTTTTCATAGTTATTTTAATTCCGTATCTGATAGTACCAATATCAGTGTCATATGTGAGTCTGATTCTCTTGATTGTTTTGTCTCTTGGCATTGTGGGTTCTTTCTCTTGCTTGTTTGAATACCATGTAAGTGGTATTATTATGTAAGTCGTATTATTATTATGTTTTAAATAGGGGAGATAGAGAAGAAGGATCTGATCAGGGCTCCATGGCCTTCCTGCACAGCTGCTTTGCCCTCCCCTAAGCCTGTACCGTGAGGACTGCTTTCTCAGGACTCCTGTCATAATTTCTTTGTGAGTACCTATTGAAATCTGTTGAAAGAGGGGCCAGTGAGTGGTGTGAAGTCCCCTTTATCTGCAGCCTTTAGAGCTCCAAATTCTGTCACCAGCCAGTACTTAGCCTCCACCAATACAATACTAGCTGAATTCTTCTTACCAGTATTCAAATGCCCCAAGTAAACAAATGCTTGCATTTCCTATCTCCCTGTAGGCATTTGTCTCTCAGATTTGGGGCTAGTTGACATTTCTTCAACTTCAACTCTTTGACAGATTCAGGAAAGGTCATTGACTTGCAGTTTGTTGAATGTTTTTTTTTTCAATTCTAAGGTCTTTTTCCAGTTGTTAATATCCAAGTGGAAACCAGAAACCCCACACTTGCTCCTTCTTTTTACCCCCCCACCCGTATCTCTACTGGTGGGATGACTCTTTGTCCTGGTTTACACCAGTATAATCCCCTTTTCACTCAAGAGTTTTCTTCATTTGAATGGTAAATTGTGTGATCACCATGTCCTTGAAAGTATTACATAATGAGGTTTCACTGGGAACATATGTTACCTATGGATGAATTTGTTTATCTTGGGTAAAAATCAAATATTGAAGGTCATTTTGGCTATATTCAAAAGGACATGGAGAGAAAAGATGTAAATGAAAGACACATCAACCAAATCCATTGTGTAGACTTTGTTTGGGTCCTGTTTTAGCCCAAAATAATTATTTTACACAATCAGGAGCATTTGAACATGGACTTAGGTATTAGACATTATAGAAATACTGTTATTTGGTTAAGCATTACAAAGATATTATAGTTACGTTTTTAAAAAATATTATTTGTTATAAATTCTGATGTATTTGGAGGTGAAATGTTATGATAGTGGGAATTTATTTAAAAATGCTCAAAAATAAAAATGAAGGTGAAGGGAGAGAGAAATTTGATAGGTAAAAACAAGAATGACAAAATATTGATAATTACTAAAGCTAGATAATAGGTAATTATTTTATTATCTTTATTGTAGTTTTTATCAACTTCCATAATAAATACTTTAAAAAAGAGAAACAGGAATATAAATCAGGAATCTTTTTTTTTTAAAGGTGATTATCCTAAAATTGGGCTTCCCTGGTAGCTCAGGTGGTAAAGCGTCTGTCTGCAGTGCAGGAGACCTGGATTCATTCCCTGGGTGGGGAAGATCCCCTAGAGAAGGAAATGGCAACCCACTCTAGTACTCTTGCCTGGAAAATTTCCATGGATTGAGGAGCCTGGTAGGCTACAGTCCATGGAGTCGCAAAGAGTCAGACATGACTGAGTGGCTTCACTTTCTTTCACACTTTCTATCCTAAAATTTAAAGTGGCAAAGGTGAAGTTTTCTTGTGGCAGATCAGAGGTCAGGCAACCCTGCCTAAAATTTCATTTGAAAGCTTCCTGTGCTTCAGTGGGTATTCAGGAAATCAGATAATATGTTATATTACAGGTATGTTGCTGCCGCTGCTGCTAAGTCACGTCAGTCGTGTCCGGCTCTGTGTGACCCCATAGACACCAGCCCACCAGGCTCCCGTCCCTGGGATTCTCCAGGCAAGAACACTGGAGTGGGTTGCCATTTCTTTCTCCAGTGCATGAAAGGGAAAAGTGAAAGTGAAGTTGCTCAGTCATGTCCGACTCTAAGCGACCTCATGGACTGTAGCCTACCGGGCTCCTCCGTCCATGGGATTTCCCAGGGAAGAGCACTGGAGTGGGGTGCCATTGCCTTCTCCATATTACAGGTATAGGGAGGGGAAAAAAAAGAGGTGAAATGCCATGGTTTTAATGTAGTTAAGTCCTGCAGACCCACACTGGACCCAGAGGAGGGAAGGAACCTTGCAGGTGTCTTATTAATCCTGGTTCAGTTCAGTGTCTATTTTGTGCAAACTTGAGCTTCCCCGGTGGCTCAGACGGTGAAGAATCCTCCTGCAATGCAGGTGACCTGGGTTTGATCCCTAGGTTGGGAAGAGCTCCTGGAGAAAGAAACAGCTGCCCACTGCAGTATTCTGGCCTGGAGAATTCCATGGACAGAGGAGCCCTCTGGCAGGCTACATCCATGGGGTTGCAAAGAGGCGGACACTACTGAGCGACTTTCACTTCACTTCATATAAACTTACCTTAGAAGGGGTATGTTATGCTTTGCTTTCCTTTTATCCAGGTTCTCAATGTTGCTCTAGTCTCCCCTGTTTTCATAATATGGAGAGACAAATGCCTTGGGAAGGGGATAGCCAGGCTATAAACTCCAAGGCGGCAGGGACTATTCACTGCTTTGAACTAGGTATACCTAGTACCATTACTGGTTCGTGAAAAGCATTTAATAAGTAATGGATGATTTATATCCGCTTCATTTAAAATGAAAACAACATTGTGCGGTTGCATATAGACCACCTTACTTTCAAATATGTTTATGGAAATGATTAGGAGAGGACAGTGATTCTCTCTTCCCCTCTAAAAGTCCTTAGCTCTAGTTCAGCCAAGAAATCAAGAGACTGTAATATCCTGTCTACAGAAAGTTGAAATGACAGGTACCCTTAAATAAACAGGTGTAATTAATCATAGTGCTACTTGTTTTGATGAGCATGCAAGAGTGACAAGTTAATAATAAATCTCCAGCTCATACAGGGGAGTTGGCTAAGGAGATGCTGTGGTTTAATTTACATCTTTGGAAGGCACCGAAGATTTAATAATCTCCCTGCCTTATATATCAAACTAATACCCCTGAGGCAGAAAAGCAAAACATTTTTAACTGTTAATCTGAGAAGCAATAAAATCTTGTCTCAGGTCAAAAATAAATTGAGTTTCTGGTGGTCTCAATGGACCCTTAGGATGTGTGATTTATTCAGATTCTAAAGCCGCTCAGGACCCCTGGGGACCTTGGCTGCAAAACCAGGCAAGCTGGGAACACCGTGGGGATTGCCAATCCAATCAGAAGATCAGACCGAGGGCAGTGACTGATTTTACCTTAGACTTACCCAATAACTTATTTTACCTTCTGTGTCAGCTACAAATAGATTATGGAATACAAACCTTTGTGAATTTGAGAGTCAGTTCTAAACGATTGCTTTAGTTCTGTTTATGTTGTCGTGTCTTGTATAGTCACTCAGTCATGTCCAACTCTTTGTGACCCCATGGATTATAGCCCGCCAGGCTCCTCTGTCCGTGGGATTCTCCAGGCAAGAATACTGGAGTGGGTTGCCATTTCCTTCTCCAGGGGATCTTCCCAACCCAGGGATTGAACCCAGGTCACCTGCATTACAGGCGGATTCTTTACCATCTGAGCCACCAGGGAAGCCCTCGCGTATGTTAATACTTGTTCTTAAAAGCTCAAAAACTGATTTGAGGTTTTTACTAAGTGTAGAATTTTAACCTGACTAGAGAAACTGGGATACAAGAAGGGAAAATAATCCTTCATGGCACAATGAATCATTTGTGAAGCCTCAAGTGTTCAGACTTCCAGCTCTTTGTTTCTAAAGGAGCTAAACTATGAGGTACATTGAATTTATTAATTTGGAAAACTGCCTCCTTACAGATACTAGTAGAGAAGATGCCATCTTCTTTGTTTAAAGAATGGACCAGAGCTAATTGAGGATCCTGAGAGAGACACAGAAACAATTTAGAAATAATTTGAGTCACCCATTCCCTGCTTGAAGGGAAACAGACTCTTGGTCTTTGGGGAGCCACCCAAATTGACTAAGGGAAGACGGAGGAAAATTCCCTGGATCCCTGCAGGGTTAATTTATTAAAAAAGGAAATTGAAAAATACTCAACATGCAAAAGTCTTGTGAAGAAAATAAAAGAAAACCACAGAACATGCCAAAGGCTGAGGAAGACCACCCTTTGGAAGCTGTACCACAGGAGGCAGAAAGAAATCCTCAACCTTGTGAAGAAGGTGTAAGCCAGGAAGCAGAAGGAAACCTTAGAGGAGGGCTGATTCAGGCTGGTCAGGGATACAAAGAGGATGCTCCTGTTAGGCATTTAGACCCTAAAGAAATGATAAGAGGAACAGATGAGTTGGAAAGGCTTAGGGAAGAGATAAGAAGAATAAGAAGCAAGTTTGTGATGATGCATTGGAAGCAAAGACATTCACGTAGCCATCCTTATCCTGTGTGCTTTAGGCCTTGAATTCTTTTTTTGTCCAATATTAAAATTTGGCCCCTGCTTTCTGTTAGCATTTTCTGATGTATCTTTGACTTTTGCTTTATTTTTAATCATCTGGTGGAGTTTTGTTTTAGGTAGTTTTCCTCGTTATCAGCATCTGCATTTTGTATTTTGACACATTCTCTAGGTCTATTTTTCGATTGGGAAATTTCACACATATGCATGAAAATATGTTCATTCCATATTGTAAAGTAAAACATAGCAGGTTACAAAGCAACATATTCAGTACCAGCTCACATATGTAGGAGAAAGTCTCAAATTTTGTGTGTATGCATGTGTGTTTACATACATGCATATATCAGAAATTTAAATGTGCTTGTTTCTGTGTGATTTTTTTTCTTTTTGCTTATATGCATTTTTTAATGAACACATAACACACACAAAGAGAATTAAAGTTTTTTTTTATTAATTAAGAGTCAATCAAATGATTTGCAACCAGCTTATAAGGACAATGGGGCACCTAAACTCCTGATGAAAGAACTATTTAAAAAAATGTAAACCTCAAAATACCTCTGGATCTCTTAGCCAGAGGAATAAAACTGGCAATTATTACAGGGGGAAAAAAAAAAAAAGAATGGAACATAATGATCTCAGAGAAATAGGAAGATAGAATTATGTACATTTGCTGTGTGTAGAAGTGTATTCATTGTTCTAATTTGCTATGAAATAATTTTTATAAAGAAATTAGATTGTAAAATGATTTCATCTTTTTACAAATGCTGCTTATAATTTCAGCTAAATCATTGTGATGTTTAATGCACTGTCGCAGGAAGTAGAACATAAAAATACCCAGTTCCCCTCATCTCGTACCTCCCTCCAGCCCCCATGGCTTTAAATCATAGCTGTAAATTAGGGTTGCATTTTGTCTTGTCTTCCAAGTGCACACTGACTGGCATAGCATGAGCTTCAGACTGTAACTAGCGTATCCATTCAACTTAGCAATTAGAAAACCACATGCTATCACCCCAGACACACCTGGGCTGCTTCCGCCTGCCTCTGTTTGAGGAAGGCTTTATTCTCCTGGTCAGGAGTTTGGGTTGGCCCAGGTGGGAGAAATCTTAGAGGAAAATCTCTTTCTCATTTGTAATTGACTTAGCAAACATCCTTTGACTCCCTTAGGTCATGAGGATGCTGGGACATATAAGGACAGAGGCACAGAGCGTGGTGTCAGTTTCCTAGGGCCACTGTAACCAGGTACTTAGTGTCATAAGCACAAATTTACTATCTTTCTGTTCTGGAGGTCAGAAATCTAAAATCAAGGTACTGGCAGGTGTGTCCTTCTCAAGGCTCTAGGGAAAAATCTGTTTCCTTGTCTTTTCCAGTTTCTGTAGGCTGCCTGCATTCCCTGGTTCATGGCTCCTTCCTCGAATCACTTCACCTCCTGTTTCTGTTGTCACATCTCCTGCTATTCAATATGATCTCCTTCCCTCTTACAAGGATTCTTGTGATTACATTGAGCCCAGAATAGTCCAGCATAATCTCCTCACCTTAAAATCCTTATTCATACCTGCAAAATCATATTTTTCATAGAAGGTAATTCATGCATTGCAGGAATTAGGATGTGAATGTATTTGGAGGTGGCCTTATTCACCACAGAATTTGGCATTAGATAACTCTGCCAAATTCTGTTTGACGAACAAATTAGTTTGACAAACTGTGAGTTTCTTAATGCTTCTGAATCTCAAGTTTCTTTTGTGAGAAATGAAGTAAATAATACCATCTCCTAGAGTTGCATGAGGCTTGAAAGTGAAAGTGAAGTCGCTCAGTTGTGTCTGACTCTTTGTGACCCCATGGACTGTAGCCTACCAGGCTCCTCCGTCCATGGGATTTTCCAGGCAAAAATACTGGAGTGGATTGCCATTTCCTTCTCCAGGAGATTTTCCTGACCCAGGGACTAAACCCGGGTCTCCTGCATCATAGGCAGATGCTTTACTGACTGAGCCACCAGGGAAGTCGGGGTTAAGTTCCTGAAAACAATTGTCATTGTGTCTGACACGGATTACTAGTTCAATGAATGGGAAGTTAATGGATTATTGTTTTTACTATTCAGTGATGAAATGGCACAGTTTCACCTCTTTGAGGACTCCTCAGTCTAGTGGAGAAGATCGATAGCTGAACAAGTCATTATAAGTCAGCATGAGGCAGTGTTACATGGGCTATATTTGTCACAGGCCACAAGGGTCCTTCATACATAATTTCATTCATTCTTTTGTAGGTGTGTAACTAACGTGAGTTTTGGGGCAAAGGAAGGGAAAACATGAAAGGTTGTTCTGAGGCTATGACTGACATGGAATGTCAGGTCCTGGAAGGTTGTGTATTTTTATTTTGATGACCTCATATTTTTTCCTAAGGAAAAACTGTTTACTGCTCTTGAGATATAATGTTAACTTTCTTGGATTTGGAGTATGTGCCGTTTAACAAGTTAGGGCCTTGGACGTCTCAGACTGTATCATATGGTAACAGGAGAGACAACAGTATAGGTCTGTAAGCGAAAGTTGAAAGTCCTTCTGTTCCTCTATGTTTTTGCTACTGACGTTCACACCTTCCCTCCCCCAATGGGAAAAAGTGCTGATCTTTTGGAAATGTTCCAGGATTCTGGTTGTGCCATGTTTGCTGGTAACTGGAGTCCCTGTGTGTGAAAATGTCACACTCTTGAGTGGGTACTGTTTGTGTCTCTCCCATCATTGTGGCTTGGGTGGTGAGGACCAGGGTCCACTCTTCCTTCTGTGTGTCAGCTGGCCTGATCTCATGTGCTGTCCCTCTTCTGTCTTGTTTCCTAATTCTGCTCTCATTTTACCTGGCCCTTCAGCCACAGGTGACACCAACTCTTCATTTGGCTTCTAGAATACCACTTTCTTATGTTTTCTTCTACCTGATGCTCAGTTGGGTCTTTCTCATTTCCCTGACTTAATATTCAAGCTTACCAAACCTCAGCCCCAAGACCTCTTCTTTTTTCTGTCTTTTTATCCCATTCTATGGATTTAAATACCATCTATTTATTGATTATGCTGGCATTAGTTTTCCATTGCTGCTGTAACAAATTACCACAAACTTAGTGGCTTAAAATAACTCTGATTTATTATTTTACAACTTTTTAGGTTAGAAGTTTGACACAGTCTCACTGGGCTACAGTAACTTGTCAACAGAGCTGTGTTCCTTTCTGGAGTCTCCAAGGGAGAATCCATTTCTTTATCTTCTATAGGCCTTCTGCATTCCTTCAGTTCAGTTCAGTTCGGTCACTCAGTCGTGTTCATCAAGTCTTTGTAACCCCATGGACTGCAGCACGCCAGGCCTCCCTGTTCATCACCAGCTCCTGGAGTTTACTCAAACTCATGTCCATTGAGTTAGTGCTGCCATTCAACCATCTCATCCTCT